CCCTGCTTTGTCAGCCATGCAATAACCACACAGAAAGTACAGCCACCTGTGAGATCAAATACAGCAATACTTGACTTAAGCTTGACTTTTTTTTCCAGTGTACAGATTCAAAATGAACACCCCCTGGACTGGATAAACTGTGGTTCAGTCCTGCCTTAGAGACCTAGATCTAGATCTGTGCCGAGCAACTCCTGAGATCATCATCCTGGGTAGGAGATGTCTCAGGAGAAGCCACTTTTAGCTCTGACTGAGTTTACACTGAGGGGACATACAGTAATTCTGAACATGGTGAGAGTTCAAGTGCCATTGTTCTGGATTGGGTTGAACTTTTTTCCATCATCCTTTATCAGACTGGTCTTCTACTTGGTGAATCACTGTTTGGCTCAGGCACTGAGGGCATCCACAGTGGTGCACGAAGGGTGTTAACAGCCTCTGAGGCAGTGGCTGGCACTGAGGTGGACGGGAGCTGACAACTCCTCACAGCAACTCAAGCAGCAACGCCAATAACAAAAGATTAGGGGGAAAGCATAGCTTCAGTGTGGTGAAAAATTAAACCCCGACCAAGAATGAAGAAAAGTATACAGAAGCTCCTGATGCTTAATTACTTTCTTTGTTTAAAATATTGCTGACTTGTTTTTCTACTTTGTCCCACATGGGGTTGCGCTCAAATAACTTACTTGCTGCTTGTTCTGCCAGCAGAGCAACAATCTCTTTGTTTCAATTTCTGCTTTCTTTAAATGAAAGTCTCTTCCCCATGTTAATCTCTGAAGTCACAGCTGCTTTTCTTCATGATTATCTTTTGATGCATGTTGACTGCATTACTGAGGAAAAGCACCAGCTTCTCATAGCCAGGGGAACATGCCTGCATTTATTTACATCTGAAAGCAAGCAAGCAAAACTTGGAAGGATTTGTGGCTTTATAAACTTTTTCTGAAACTATAGAGCATTTATCACAGCCAGCCCTAGCATTCTTCCTCTCATGTGATTTGCTGCACTGATTTACCAAGTCTTATCTTGGATTAGGCTGTTAGCTCTTCAGGAGCTGAGGTGCTAGCCTCTGTGATTTAATGACATTCACTGGGTCACACAGACCAGAACTATTTATGGGAAACTCCAGGAGTCCCCTTTTCCATGATGAAAGTAATTAGTGATTTAGAATTTGCTTTCTGCTCTTGCTCAGCCAGAATTCCCAGCTGCACTGAGCATTTATGCCAGAAAGCATCAAATACATTAGCCTACTTGCAGAAAGAGATGGGAACAACAGTGAAGCAGGGGAAATCAAATAAGCAACCATGGAAAAGTTGCTTATAAAGTCACACAGGTCTATGAAGGCTTCATTAAATGATTCCTTGGGCAGTGTCAAAAGAGCAAAAGAAATACTTGGGCCTATAATTGCTCATGCTGCAAAGGCAGTGGGCAGCAGATTGATCCAAAGTCCCAGTATGAGATAGTTTCTCCAGGAAGAGCATGTTAGGATGTCAGAGTTAACCCCTTGATGGTGTCACCAAATCTTTTTGAGTTTAGTCTTCACCAGTTTTGCAGGACAGAGTTTGTAGCTATCTTTGGCAAGACACCAAAGCCTTGGTTACTGTCATGGTGTGACCAGATTCAAGTGGCTGACAGGGTAGGTGTTAGCACCAATAAAACAGAAATTACAAAGGTGTGCTCACCAGAGTTTAAACAGAAATGAAACAAGACTTTAGTTGCTGGCAACAGAACCAGAACAGTCTGCATGTGAACAGCGATTCTGTCCGTTAAAATGATATGGATCTGTGGGAGACAGGAGACTACTAATTACACTGAGGAATTAAAAGGGGAGTACAATTCCAAGTTTATTCCATAGCAAAACTGACACCCATAAAAATGGCATGTTCTTCTGATCAAGACTAATTCTGTGCCGCAGCTGGGGCTAAGTAGGGCTCACTGGGTGTTTGAAACCTGAGCTTCACAAGGGTGGCATATTTTTCCTTGGAAGTTGGTTTGAAAGACTGCTCCTTTCCTCTCTGTCTCTCCTCTTCCTATTCACATCCAGATTAGGAGTTTGCAGTATTGGCTGCTCAGTTCTGAATATAATTGCCAGAGTAGAGAAGCCCACCAGAGAAGAACTGCTGACTGTGCTTTTATGGGGTAGAGCTTTGAGAGGTTCAGGGATGGCAAAGGTGGTAAGAGGTACAGAGGGAATTCCATACAAAGAACTACTGAGTAAGGGTCTCTTTCCATCTGAAAAGTAGGTGATTGGCAGAGGACAGGATGAAGGTCTCTAAACTCCTGAGCAGAACTGGGTGGCTGAACAAGGACCCACTTTTCAGTTCTCAACACAAGAATGAGAAAGAGTTAAATGAAACAGGTGGGTGACAGGTTCTACATCAGTAAAGCAGCATCTGACTTTTTGCCTAAAAAGTAGGTTGACTCCAGAGCACCTCAGCACAAGATGTTGTAGATACTGAAAATTCTGGAGATAAAGAATGCTCAGTGAAGGAGCCTCAGGTCCAATGAGATTACCCATATCAGGAAAAATGTCTGACTAAGGAATCTTAAGGAGTAGGAAGCAGGGAGAGTATGTCTGGAAAACACCATTCATACTTGTCCTGATCTTATTAGTTTCCCTAGGCATTCTCTTTGGTCACACTGGAAGACCTGATACCAGGCTAGACAGACCTTTTTGTCTGATGCAGTAATAAGGTAGCCTTACATTTTACACACACATGTGTATGTATACAGAAGAGTTAAGAGAAATATTAGATGTCCCTCTGGAAGGGACATTTTAGATGACATTTAAAGCACATTTTTTTTTTTCTTTGTATAGAGCATTTATCTGCTTGTGCTGATAAATGACTTATAGTTCAGATATATTGTCTCCTAATTTTTGTCTGATCAGGTATGTTAGAAGTGTGAGCCTTAGGAGGGGGGTTAGCCATTGGAACAAATCCACCCACTGAGTCTTCAAATCTTGATGCTTCAGTGCCTCTAGTGAAACATACTTTAGCCAGGCATAATTTAGAAGCAACAGGATGAAGTAATAGGGCATAGGGTTTTCAGGAGTAGATGATCCAAAACTTCCTTTTGGCTTCACCTGACCTAGAGAGTCTACAAGACATAAACTTCTTAAAGTGAACTGGACACCAAAGGTTCCCTCCACAGTCTCTTGAGAGGGATTGGTTTGTTCAGGATATAGCTCATCTATTCTAGAAGTGTCTATTCTCTCCACTGACTATACAGGGAGCCTCGGGGAAGTGGGTCAGATGTTAACATTTACAAGAGTTAGTTCAGCTTCATCATCTGAGTCATTTCCAGGTCTAGTTTTATAAAAGTAGTTGGGGATTCACAACTCTACCAAAATCTTCTGGTTTTAAATGATAAGTCCCACAAGTGTTCAACTGTTATTGAAGCAAAATTTTGTGCCAAATTCAATCATGTCATCAAAACCCTGTGAATTCAATGAAGTTTCACAACAGATTAATTTAGCCACATGGACAGATGTTTTGATGAGATTCATTTATTTTAAAACCATATGTAAATGTCTTTCCTATCTTGGTAAGCATATTGGCTTTTGAATAAATTCATTGTAAAGTAAAAAAAAAAAAAAAGAACCCAGAATTCTTCAAAGATGCTCTGAGAGTTATCTTGTCTCCCTGTTTAGGAGAACTTCATGGAAATTCGTAAGAACAACAGCCTTATTTCAAAATCAATCAGAAGACATGTAGTGTACATTTCTGCTTGTTCCTTATGCTTGGATTAGATTCAACACCGGGGGGGAAAATATAAAGGACTAATTTCCTTCTTATAGTCTGGAGGGTTTTGTACAGGAAGATAAAATAAAAACCAGTCATTCTCTTTCTGTCCTAAAGTATAATCCCTCAGGAGAGACAGCATCAGATGTAATAATACAAATATACTCCCATTACTTTTTTATTTTGCCCGAGCAGGTCAATGCTATCTGTTTGGCTTCTCACGTGATTGTTGAAAGTAAGTATTTTCATTTGGACCAGTTTGATTATACCAGCAGATCTCTTGGGAACTTCAACAGTTCATTTTGGGGTGAAAATCTGCCTAACCATCCTGTCTGGATCCTGTATCGAGCGTGCTACATCTGTGAACTGAGGTGTGTGAGAAGATGTATGTGTGGAGGGGGGGAAAGGGGAGGTCAGGGCTGCTGTAACTGACACAAGCATGTTTGAAAGAAAGGTGAGTGGCTGACGAGGGACCAGAAAGAGCTTTGAGTCCCTAGTCTGAAGGCACTCATGACAGGCTGGTGGGAGTCTCACCAGCAGAGCTTTTCTCAGCCCCATGATACAGCAATAACAGCAGTGCACTGATGCAGAGAAGCTGTGGTTTACCCTGACCTAATTCCTGCTTTCAAGCACACAGATAAATCTGAAAGTTTTTATTGTCTGAAATAGTCTCTTATTCAGCCATAGATTCTAGCAGGTAATTTTAGAAATTTCATAACTGCTTCTTGCAATTTTAGATTTACCTATGTCACTTTACTTTGTTCAGCTGAAATAATAAACTGCCTTCAGTAGAAGACTTCTGTGTAGAGAATGTGAAACAATGCTATGGGATCCAGTCAGCAGAGTCAAGTCCAAGATAGCACTGAGCTTTTTTTGCACCCCCAAGGAAGTCGAACGGTGCAGTAGTGCTGTGGCAGAAGTAGCCTCAGGTAGGAAACATGATGCTGTGAGTGACACCCAATTCCTGTCTCTCTGGAGTAAAAATGTCTTTGCTAGTGAGTGAATGAGGATTGAAGGGAAGCACTGAATTTCTTAAGAAGAAGCCAGAAGGATGTGCTGATTTTCTCTATTGGAAAAAGATGCGAGTGAGCGTTAAACCAGCTTTTTTTCTTGAGCTGGATAGAAGTCTGAAAGTTAATTTTGCCACTGTAAATGACAGTGCTTAAGGCAGAGACTTTTTAGCACCCATAGTCATTAAAACTGAGATGTAAATAGGAACAAAGGAACATATCCAAAAGCTACTTGGATAGAAAATAATTGGTAAAACACCTTGTAGTTCTCTCCACTGCATGGTGTGTGCTTCCAATAATGAAGGCATCTATTGTTCATGCAGAAGCTCTGCCTGCTCCAAAAGGAAAAATAAAATACAACAAAAACATATTTCAAAAAATTCAGCTAGCCAGATTCTGGAGAAAATTGCCTTTGCAATCAGTGGATTGGTTTGGTCAGAAACATCTTAATCTTGAAAGCTGTTAAAGAAAAGAAGGGTTGTTCTGGCTGTCTTCCCATAAATTAAGAAGCTGATTGCAGACTTTGTGTTAACAGTATCAGACATTTGTCTCTCATTTGGAATACCACTTACTCACTTTTCTCTAAAATGTGATTTTACAAATATGCAGATTGATGAACTTTCATGCTGAGTATTTACTTCTGGTGAGATCCAGGGATTTCTCAGGAGATCTGATTGGGAAGCTCTGGCCCTGTAATTAGGATGAGAATAGTTTAGCAATGGAAAGCAGAGAAATACATTGTTAGGAGAAGTAGACATTAAAATTGTTCTACTGTCTTTGCTGCCCTTCCTTGCTACTATTGAAACATGGAAATAGCTACCTCAGAAGTTAGCTGCGTACCTGAGGGGAGGCCTACATGGAAGTATGAAGTACTGTGTATAGACAGTATTCCTTTGGAATAACTTACAAAAAGCTCCCTGAACACATGCCCTTGTGGTCTTTTTCCTTAATTTTGAGAAACAGTCACACTTCTATATGAGATGTGATCCCACACCAGATGCTGAAACTGTGACACTGTTCCCATCATTCTCTGCAGTGTGCATATGTCTTTTTGTATATGTGCATACGTCTTTTTGTATATGTGCATACTACCTGCAGGTAGTATATATTTTGTGACATTTATTTTCTTTACCTTCTGCTCCTCCAAAAGAAAGAAAAGCAGTGGAAGAGTTTTATGTCTTTAGGTGTGCTCTGTGTTTTTCCACAAGTGCAGGATGCAGCTACACATCTGGAAGATCATGGATACACTCAGAGAAAGGATGTAAAGGTTTGTGGATGTGTTCATTGGTCTCTGCAGCCTTGCCTACCTTTCTGGGAAGTGAGGCAAGCAATCTATAGTGAACCTTAATGACAATCTGTTGCTGGGAGCTTGTAGGGAGGGATGATGAGATCTCAATAAGACCACCCCAAGAATATTCCAGGATGAGCTGTTAAAGAAAAGGTGCTTGTCCTGGCTGTCTTCCCACAAATTAAGTTTCTTAAAATCCATCAGCTGCAGAGTGAATAATACATTGCTTTAAAGGGCTGACTTAAATGATGGAAATCACTGTCTAGGGGTGACCTGGAGCCCAGGAAACACTGGGGGCACTGCAGAAAAGCTTGGCTGGAGGAATGCATGTCTGCCAGTATGCTGATGAGCCCATGGTACACTGGAGCATTATGTTTATTAACATCTAAGCAAGCAAGGCATGTTGTAGGCTTGTGGCCTAATATCCTTTTTGAAATATGCATCCACATTGGTCCAAAACTTTTGGTGATGTTCTATAGTCTTTCTACTGAACTGTTGGAGTGTATCAAATGTCTGAGTAGCCTGACTGTTAGTAAGCAAATGCAGACTGGTCTTACTGAAGTTGATTGAGCTCCATTTGGGGGATTTGACAGACATCTGCCTTGGGTAATACTCTGAAGGCAGTAGCAACACAGTCCTGTCTTCTGGTATTCAGCTGGCATACAGGAATAAGGAAAGGGCAACCAGTAGCCATTGTAAAGCTTTCGTATCCTCCTGTGAGAAGCAGTATGTGCACAGCTCCACTAATCGTTATATATATCATGATAATTTCATTTATCGTCTCACTACATTTGTTTTTATTAAAGTAGTTCACAGAGGTGTCATTCCTTGGTTTAGTTCATTAACAAAACTGAGTACCTCATCCCTTGTTATGGGAGACAAAAACAGATGTCTCAGGCTGTTTTCTTATGCTGTCTGGTTTTTATTGTCTTCATATGTCAGCTTTAGTCAACAGGGAAAGAAGTACTCTTAAACTGCAAGCAAGAGAATATTGTCATTCCTTGGGCTCAAGCAAAACTCTTTAGGTACCAAAAGAGTTTCCTAAAGAATATGCCCTCTGTAATGGCTTCCATGAAACTGCGCTTTACTCCCATCCATCAGGATTAAACCAGATTTATGTTGAAATCAGCCTGCAGAATATGTTATGTCTCTGGAAAAGACATATACATGCAGATTAACAGGAGCCAGCACTGGGGGCTGAGTAACAAAAAAGTCACTCTTCCTTGCTGTTTGGGAGGGATTTAATCATCTGAGACTATCTTACTCTCATGGAGCTCAGGAGAAGTAGGAGAGGATGCCTCAGGCTTTCAAAAATCGCCTGCCTCTAAAATGCTACCAAAATGTCCACGGTATGAGATATATGAGAAAGTGAAGCAGTATCATGGGGTTCTTGCTGCATGTTAGCTGAGGAACACTGCATATTCGTGGAAAATCAATGCAGTCCAATACTGCGTAAAACTCCTTTGACAATTTTAGCTAGGTAGAGTCTGCATACCTTTCTTCTAGAGACCCACAGTTCTGCAAGTTTCTTAGGATCCACCACCTGCAGAGTGAATAAATGTATTGCTTTAAAGGGATAATTTAAATGATGGAAATCGTCATCTAGGGGCAACCTTTACTAATGATTTGATAAACCAGTTTGAATTTAGTTCACCAAATTTGACCAATTATTTTTAGGTCATGATATGAAGCAAAGCTATCATTCCAGGGTATTTTGATTAAGATGATCACTTTCTTTTAAAAAGAAATCTATGCAAGAGTCTAAGCCATTAATTTAGCTCTAGATATGATAATTAGCCATTTAATATCCATTGGCATTTTCCTGTGGCTATAAACTAGCGGTTACAAATCAAGCCTGTCACTTCTTTACAGTCCTTCCCCTCTTCAAAATAACAGCCCAATTTATCACCTCATTATACAAATTTTATGCCAGCATATCTTCTCTCAGTTCTGTGGAATTGCAGAATGAAAGTGAAGGCATGCAATAGCATATAAATGTCCCAAAGTCTTTAGAATTCACAGTTTTACTAGTCTCCCACAGTACTGAAAGTGCCATTAATTCTAGGTGAATGGTATTCTCCACTTTGGCCCCAGTTTTCCCCTACTCATTAGCTCTTATAGCAGACATAAATCAGACTATCCTCCTGGATCTACTCAAGAAATCTTCAGGCTTTTTGCTCTCCTGACTTCACAGCCGCTACACCTTTCCAAATACTTTTCTTTAGTGGTTAGAGAAGACCTCCTATTTCAATTTTCTCCTGTTAGAGTGTCTCCGAAGGAGCTCGTTTTTGTCTCTCTTCCCTCACTTTGATTCCTCCTCCTAAGCTTAAGTCTCGAAGACATTTCTGAGTAGAAACCGAAACTTTACTATTTTTACCTTTTTCATAGAGTATTTACCTCTGTTTCATAAACTTTTAACTTTGCTATGTGGATTCTTATAACCCAGAGTTGCTAATCTATCAATTATACTACTATTCTGCATTCAAGTTCTTATACTTTCCTTTCCTTGTTAGTTTTATATCTTATACCTTGCCAGAATTTTTTGTCTTGTTTCAAGGAGGGATCCAAGTGTGACCTGAATGGTAGAACATGCAGTGGTTTTGTAGGTGCTACCAGTGTGAGGATCTTGAGAGAGAGGGATAATGCCTTTGTGGCAAGTCTGCCCTAACCCCACTAACTTCTAATATTAACTAAATATTTTCTCTGTAAAAATATATTATTCATGTGCTTCTACTTCCAAAGACCATTTTCCTTTTCTCTTCTTAAGGATACTACTCCCAACATGGATTTTGTTCCAAAGTCAGGGTACTATATATTTCTTCATATATTAGCAAATTTATGGAAATTTCATGTTCAGAAAAGTTTGTACCTCTTTTGGTTTAAATCCAAAATCTTACTCTGAAGATTGTTAAATTACCCTTCCTCTCTCTAACCACATTAAAACAAACAAACATTTTCAGTCGTCCATTCTTTTTCATTTGTTTTCTTTTTGTACCGAATAAATTGCCTAAATCAGGAGATGGGGCCTTCATGTGCAAGGCATTGAGGCTTTTTCATGTTTTAAAACATTACAAACTTTTTCACATTACAACTCAAATCCCTAGCTCAGCTGATTTGCCTACAGGAGAACTTCATACAGTCCTAACAGGACGCAGCAGCTTCAAACCATGCCAATACTCTGGTGGCATTGGAGCGAGTGGGGAGTCAGAGACCTTTCTGCTCCATCCCACAGTTTCTCCTCTGCGGATTTGCCTGTGCTCTCTGCAGGCACACCAATGATTCCTTGGGAACTCAGCAACAATAAAACTGTCAAAGGTTTCTCCTAGGTATCCCAGTCCTAAAGCACATGTGCATATGCTGTGTGTGGGAGACGTGACATGCTGTCTACTTGTGACAGGAAGGTTAGAGGCTCCAGAGTTCATTATTGGTCCCTACTGAGAAACCTTTCTCTTTTTTTCAATCAAACAGAAAGAACCCTCTCTATAATCATTACAAACCCTGAATTCCAATTTTATTTCTTATTCTTTACCTCCGCTTAATGCACTTGAGGTAAAAGGATCCCACAGTCCATTAGGTAAATTACTGTTTTCTTCAAGCTCCCTCTTAACAGTATGCACAGAGCAATTAGCAACTTTTTCTCCCGGAAGGGTTATGTACAAACAGCTCTGGCCATAACAGTTTGTGACACCCTCGCAAGGCTGAATAGGGGATAGTGATCGATTAAGGCTGTAATTTAATACTGGGACTGCTGCTGCTGCTACACGTGGGCTCTTTCTCTGAGTACTTTTCAGTGCTGCAGAACCTCCCCCGGGACCCCCAGGGTAACTATGTCATAACAGATGATCATCACTGGTTTTTAATGCCACTTGTATTGCCTAATCATTTTCACTGTTTATGATCTTAGGAAGATACTATTAAAAGAGTACAGAGCTTTATACAGCATGTTCCGTGTGCCAGAAGAGACCAAAAAGACTGCATGTCTCATTGGGTTGCATCATTTTGGTGCAAGGTCTATTCCCTCTGGATTTGTAAACCACAGTCTGC